GAATAGCTCAAGACATTCTTCTGGCTGTAATATTATAAAATTATGCTTAACACTATCTAAATAACTTCTAATTAAATATTACATTTATGCAGAACTCTGATGCCCTGCCATTTTCGGTTTATTTGTCACTCTTATTTTTAAACTTGTTCACGCTACATCAGATACATTTTAAGTTGAACGTCCTTGTCAAATGTTGGAAATCAAAATGGAAATTAGTTAATTTTGGACTTACTGTGGATGGAAAATCAAAATGTTACTGACCATGAACTATGTAGTAATTTAAAAAAATTCTTTTACAAGCAAGTGTATCTTCTAATATTTGTTTCAATATCACAGTTTTTCTTTTGTCAGTTAAAATTTGTATACATGTATCATTTTTATTTGTCAATATGAATTTTTGTTTTAAATATTTAAGTCACCATTAAAATCAGTAAACTGGCTTACTTGAACTTGCACATGTATAGAATGGTACATAAGCTGAAAATGACTAAATATAAATTGTAAAGATATTGATCATACTGAGAATTGAAATTGTATATTATTAAACAAGTTTTGAGACTATTAATCTTCTATACAGTAACAAAACTGCAGCATCTGATAAAGGTCAAGATTTTGTCAATGGAGAAGATCCAACACCAAACCAGAAAATAGTTACTGTAGAGGATATCGTTGGTGAGCACTATTTGAAAACTATACAGGTGAAGTAGTTACTGTAGCTCTTGACCTCTAGGGTAAATAGTAGAGCTACAAGTAGCTCTTGACCTCTAGAATAAGTAGTAGAGTTACAAGCAGCTCTTGACCTCTAAGTTAAATATTAGAGCTACAAGCAGCTCTTGACCTCTTTTTTTTATATAAAAATATTCAACTCTGATTTTCTGTGCACTGTAGATGTTAGCTTGAAGCTGATAATTCCTGAAGAAAATTCCTTACTTAGAAGAAAACTTCGAAAAGTGTGTAGGTACGTTATGAAAATATGATCTTTATATTGTAATAACTTGTTTAGTTCTATGTGTGAAATATCTGTGTTTTTGTTTTGTTTTTGCATTTCAAATGTAACTATTTTCAAACATGTTTTAGTGATAAATACACTTAAAAGAGAAACAGAATGCTGTTTCTTCTTGTGAAAGGTATGATAAAATGTCACAGAGAAATGATAAATTATTTTACATTTTAATTATTGAGAGTTCTCTCATGTTTTTGTTTTTCCTCGATTAGTGTTCTTTAGGAAAGGCAGAAGATATGAAAATACACTCTAGTAACTGAATTTTATAAAGTGTAAAAAATATCTATATATATATTGAAATGCATCAGTTGTAAAAGTGTGTGTATAATATTACGACCTTTTAATACTTAAATCAAAAAGTATTTGTTGATTAGAGAATTTTAAAATCTCTAAAAACCCCTTCATCTTCAAATTCAAAACCATAGAAACTTTGGTATTATCATATTTCCCTGAAATATATCATATAGTTGTAAAGTAATTTTTCAAAAGCTAACTAACAAAAATAGGTTTAATAATATTTCATTATGTTTAGATTAAGCAATTAACTAGGTACTAAAATTTTGCAGGTTGCCAGTATTTAGATCATTTATTGTGGCTGTTTTGCAGTATTTTCACTACTATCTCCTGATTCAGGCTTGGGAACAGAGCATAACGCAGCCATTGGAAGGGGGGTAGGTTAGATTATTTCAGTTTAATTTAACTTATTTAGAGATAATTAGTTAGCATTCATATCCACTTTGACAAAATTATTGGCATATAAACTAGAACAAAGGCCTATTTACCTTGGTTCAAATCCTTCGGCTGAACAAAAAATGTTTAGTTAGTATTTAAAACCCACAAATCTTAGAGACTTATATTGACTTTTCTTATCAGGATTAAGAAACTGGATGAAAAATTTGAACCAGCAGATTTACAAAGAAAACTTGAAATTTGTCAGCTTCGCATTGCTCATATGTATAGTCAGCTGTTGTTAGGAATGAGATCTCATCAGCAGGCTCATGCAGGATTAGGAAGGTAAATTAAAATGAGGATGTAGTAGTTTAGTGATTTAATACCTGATTCTTAGTATATATATCTTGTAATACCTGACTGTCTATGTTTTCATTTTTAAGACTTGATGGTAATATCAAACAAATGCTACAGTATATTAATGACATAAAGAGTTCTAAACTTATTCACATTACATTCATTCTGAGGTTTAAAGATTTAAACAGTGTTATAGATTGAAATAAAACAGTATCGATCAGAGAGCAGTCAGACTGTTATGGTCAGAGTCAAAAGAAAGTGATAATAAACGAAGATACATAATCAGTTGTGATATAACCTTTGATAATACTACAGTTTATTGACAGCATAGACCAAATGCTACATACATTTGTAAGTTTCACGTACAAAATGCTTTAATAAATCAGGATTCTTATGACACAGATTGTGTGAAATTATGCAGAAGAGTATTGTATTTCATTTTTCATTTATGTCATAAAATCTATAAGAGTATTAAATAGTGTAAGTCTTCCATGTAGAAAGTGTTACAACTGGTAGTTTAGCTTTTTTATCACTCCTTCAGGGAGTTGTGATGGATTAACTTGCTTGTGCTATTGTAAAGTTTTTCAGTTTAGCTGTGGGCTGTTTTGCTGTGGGTTTCTCCAGCTCCCCTTGTTTGTTCTGAGACAGTGTTTTTAGGTCTTCATACCAAGGTTTCTTCGGTTTAGTTGTTGTGACAATCTTGTCCCATGCTATGTATGACTAGGTTGTCAACACTAGCCTTGACTATCTCAATAACGACACGTTGAGTAATCCTGGGAACTGTTTAATAATGCATAAAGACGAATTACACAAGACAAAAAATGACATAGGCATACATAATTTGGTCAAACATTGAGATTATTACAATATTATTCATATTTAAACTCAACATTATTTCTCGGTAGCAAGACATAATCATGTTTATTTATACTTTTTTTTGTTGTTAATTAGGTCATGTGACCTATGTACAGGTTTACAATTCCCGCATGAACTTTTTAAGAAGGTCAATCCACATTTTTGCATAGATATTCGCCAGATCTTCATCATCTCTATTTAATATTACATAACCATTTTTATATTTAATTATTTCCAAGGATTCACAAATATTATTGGCTATAATACTTTTTGGTTGACCCAATATTACAGTTTTTTTCCCACAATACTATATGTTGTGTTTCATGTTCATGTTCTGCTGTGACTGACATTTTCATTTTTTTTATTTCTTACATATCCTTTATGCTCCATTAAACAATATTTGAAATTACATTTAAAAAGGCCTAAAAGAATGCTTTTATTTACACAGTAACACTACTTGACACATCTTATTAAGAAAGTAGAACCAAAAGCTGACTAGCTGAATAAAAAAAAAACTTTCTCCTTAGAGCAGATAAGATTGCTGTAAAACAGTAAAAAAAACAGTTGAAGATAAACTTGTTAAATAGTAATATTAATAAACATTTTTACTGCTAGATGAAGGATATGAACACTGGAAGAATTAAAAAGTTGTTATTTTCCAGATATTCTTTAATCAGAAGTGTACTAGATGTTTCCATGTATTGACATTGTTACAGCTTTAGTTTTCATGTGATGTAAAGTTATCAAATTACATGAAATTACAGAGAAGTTATTCTTGTACTCAACTCATCTGGTAAAGAAAATCTGCTGCACAGAATGATAATATAAAATGTGCATAGATATGAATTTCATAAATTAATTTCTTAGCTAAGATATGCATAAAATTTAATTATTGTTTACTAATTAGTTATGTGATGTATGGTGACAAAAATATGCAGGGATAATTAAATATGAACTATTACTATTATACATTTTAGTTCTCTAGAAAAAATATGATTGGAGTAACCACATGATATCTACTTTAAACAGTGTAGGATTTGATTTTTTATCTTTTTTTACTTCTTCAGAGCTGGTAAGTCTACTGAGAAAGAAAAGAATACCTTTGAGGTAGGATACACATAATTTCAAAACGTAGTAATTGATTTATTTTAATATAAATAAAAAATGGATCACAAAAATATGATACCCTTTCGAAAGCACTTGAGCTATAGGGTATCGTATTTTTGTGTTAAATTGATTTCTTGAACCTACGTGTTTTCTTATCATCATAAAGAATATATCAAATATTCAACCAAAAAATTAAATGATGCATTATGAAAGTGCCTTTTGTAGTTTATGAAATTTTTAGAGAAAGTAATTGTTTTTGGTATTAAATACATGCCTTAGTTTTTTTTACACTAAAGGTAAAATAGTTTCTTTTTTTCAGATTCTTTATAAACTTCTGACTGAAGCTGTGTGGATAACCTTTAGCCGAACTCAAAAAGAATGTATAGAGAGAGAAATAGGAAGGTTAATAAGCTTACTTCCAATATGTTATTATCTTCTCTCAAACAAAGCTATTTCAGTCTTCTTTCTGCCCCCTAAGCATTGCTATAAAATTTTAATGCTCAGCTCACCAGTCTATATACCCCACAAATTTCATGACACTTTTAAACATGTGTATAGCATGTGACCACCCTCTACCAATAGTATTGCACTACCTATGTTGGCACAGCTAGACCCCTTTGATGTTCCCACTCTTGATTGGCACAGTATCATTTAGACGTGTTTTGTTGCATGTGACTATTGTTTACTGTTGTATTTTGTGGACATTTCAATACCTTTTTAACAGTTTTCTTTTACTGTGCTTGCATTCAATTGTTTAAATTTTTTTTTGCATGTGTCTATTGTTACCAAATTATATGGTACCTTAGAATGACTTCATGATTCAATGTATCGGCAATGGCAATTCCCATTACAGTTGACAATGCTTCTGGTATGACTACCGAGGCATCAGGTTTGACTTTATATACTGAGGAGGTACAGGTCTTAATTTGCTGGGAATTAGATTCCTACGTTCAGCCAGCAAATTCTTCTCATTTCCAACCTGACAATGTTTCTGAGTACGAATACAATCAAGGAGACGAAAATTTGATTCACTTTTTCTGGAACCTTCTTAATTTGGTCTGTCACACTCTACATCTTTTTTTTTACAGCTAGTTAATCAGGTATGTGGTATGTTACATTTTTCCTTTTCCTTCTAGCTTGTGGACATCGTCAATCAGTTTTTATGCTGTTAATGTTACCAGTTTGTTTGTTTGTTTTGAATTTCGCACAGAGCTACACAAGGACCATCTGCGCTAGCCGTCCCTAATTTAGCAGTGTAAGACTAGAGGGAAGGCAGCTAGTCATCACCACCCACTGCCAACTTTGGGCTACTCTTTTACCAAC